GCCAATTCGAAAATATGATGAGGAAAAAGGTCAAACATGAATTCCCAAGACAGGCTGGCTTCAGAAAATTCAGTTTTATTTACATATTTTAGCTCACATCTGATTAAACATATGTGATAAACATTTTTGTGTTCATGTACTTTTGTATAAACATATGTATTTAAAATATATACTTATGTATACAAATATTTATGTGTATATGAACTCAAATATTTCTATATAAATATACACATATATATGTACATTTAGCCATTCAAGGTATGGGAAACTTGTATTTGGCTCAAGTGGTAGAGTTCCCTCTGGAGGAAAAATCAAGGTAGAGACTGAGGCTCTGATTTCAGGCACCACTGCCACAAGTTAAAAAAAAAAGAGAAGAAGATAAAAAGAAAATCTTAAAGTTGCTCAGCTGAGTTGGATAAACATCAGAAAATTCACAATGACCTCTGGATTTAGGCAGATAGAAACTTGATCTTTCGCCAAATGCTTTCTCTGGGAAACTCATGTACATAAATTCCTTAAAAGGAGATATATATATATATATATACCAGAGCTAGCATGTATATTATTTCCTAAGAAAGCAATTTATTTTCAAATTCTTGCTCCACTCTAGCTCTACAGGCCCAAGTTAAAAAATCCAGAGGTTTGTAATATGTATGAGTATCAGGTGTAGATGAGGGTGGGAGAGGGGCTTTGAGTTTGGAAGCAGCTGCAGCTCACGCATATTGGGAGAGTGTCCTCCCTTGCAGGACCGTCCATCACTAGCCATTTCTAGGGGAGCAAGAAGGAATTACTGCTTCAGATATATCTGGGAAGCTGGTAAGTAGAGGACTGAAATGGCTTAAGGTGAAAGTGGGAACCTTGTTTGATCTTCCTTCTATTTATCAACTCAACAAGTTTGGACTGCAAATTTCAAGCTCAGTATGCAACAAAGGACAGGGCTACAGATACAAGCAATCACCAGGGTCCCAAAATGTCACTGTCAATCATTAGACCTTGGTACCTGTGTGAACACCTTGTCTACATGCATCCTGGGAAGTGTATATATAGCATCTATTAGTGGGAAGGTAGCTCTTTACTTACTTAAAAAGTACAGGGCAATCTCTGCTTATTCTCTCACTCAAGTTCTCAACTCTAACTGTAGCATTGCTAGTAAAGTCTCTTAACTTGAGAAAGGAATCCTCTATGCATAGTTTCCTGAGTTTTTAAAATCATAAGTGAATGCTGAGTTTTATCACATGTAATTTACTTAACCTGTGGTAGATTTCATTGACTAAACATTGATATTTGATTCAACTTTGCACAGATTGCAAAACAACCAGTGTAAAAATGTCTTTTAAACCTTAACACATTCTATACTACTAATACTTTGTTGTAGATTTTTTGTATGAAAGTTGATGGAAGATAAATGTGTGTAATTTTGTCTTTGTATAGTATTGGAGTTAGGATAATTCTGCAGCTACAAAATACTGTGGGAAGTTGTGCAAACTAAGAGTAAGATAGAAAAGCCTCTGTGGGCATTTAGGAACTTGATTTTAGAAGAGTCTCACCATTTGCAGTACTAGTCAGAGTGGCTTACTGGGCATAATTTGTTGCATAAATGTAGTTCATCCTGGGATAAGAAGTCTCCTGTTTTCCAAACTATACAGAAAAGATTTAACCCAGCATACTGACATCTTGACTTAGAAAGGTTTCATGGCAAAGCAAATCTCTGGATGCATGTGGAACTTTGATATGGAGAATATTCCCATCAAATCTGATTAGGACTTACCAGATCGTTCATCTGTGCTCAAGCCATTTGTACTTACAGTAAGGTTATGCTGGAGTTTCCTAGTAGGAGTCTGATGTTTTGTAAAGTGCTAGGTAGGGGTGTCCACATGACTAGTCATGAATAATGTCTCAGGAACTGAATTTCTATCAAGCTACTCTGGTAGAGAACATTTCCTTGTGTTAAGACTTGTTGCTAGAGGAATCACACATCCTAGTGACTTGACGGGTTGAGGCCCCTTGGAAGTCTGATATTAATAAATATATAGCCACTGGGTTTTTCTTTTATAAATTCAGGATTTTATAATATATTGTTCTCTTCAATTCTTTAAACTCACTGTGCTATCATTCCTAAAGCAAGTTTCTTGGAGACAACATATATTACTATTTTAAAAGACTTTATGAACTGAAAGGATGGCTCAAATAGAAAACAGTCTTGCAGGGGATTAAAAAGAAATATTTTGGGGCTGGGAAGGTGGCTCAGTGGTAGAGCGCTTGCCTTGCATGCTCGAGGCCCTGGGTTCGATTCCTCAGCACCACATAAGCAAAAAGAAAAAAAAGCCGGAAGTGGCGCTGTGGCTCAAGTGGTAGAGTGCTAGCCTTGAGCTGAAGAGCTGAGGGACAGCGCCCAGGCCCAGAGTTCAGGCCCCACGACCAGACCCCCCCAAAAAAAGAAGAAATATTTTGTGAATATCTTTACATGCATTTATTTTGACCATTTAATGTGAGCATAATTATTGAGCTTAGGTATAGCTTTTTGTTTGCAATACTAAGGTTTAAGTCCAGACCTTCATGTCTGCTTGGGTGGCACTTTATTTAGCACTTGAGCACCTCTACCTGCCCTATTTTTCACTAGCTATTTTGAGAATAGAATCTAGAAGACTCTTCCTCCAAGGCTGACCTCAAACTAAGAGCCACAAGATCTCAGCCAGCAGATTAGCAAAGGTTAGAGGCATGAACCACTGGCACCTGGAAAGTCTAATACTTTTTTTTTCTTTTGTGTTTGAACATACTATTTTATTCTGTTGATTTTTAAATTTGTATTGTAAAGGTGATATACAGAGGGGTTAAAGTAGCATAAGTCAGATAATGCGTACATTTCTGTTTGGACAGTGTCACCCTCTCCCTCATTTTCTCCCAGATTTTCCTTCCTGAACCCCTTCCCCCATTTGTATAGTTCATTTCCAACATAGTATCTACTATCACTGATGTATTAGCTCATCCTTTGTCCCACCGTTTTTATGCTTCCCCTTCACCTCCCCAAATCAGATAAACTTAGATAAAAGACAAAGTGTACAGAAATCAACAAGAGTAATAAAAGGAAAAAATCAGAAAAAATGAATCACAAACAGTACAACAAAAAAACTTTTGTTTCCATTTCTTGGAGTTCATTTAAATTAACATAATTGTATACGAACATATGCACATAGCTATTGAGTCATTATCCTCTCCTAAGAATAACCTCCTTTGGTCTCTCTGCATGAATGCATTTATCATGTCCAAGTGTAATTTTTTATCTTTTACTATCCACTGGGCTTGCTTGTAGATTTATGGTCACATTGTAATTATTACAAATGAGGGAAACCAAGCAACCTATGTTTCTTTGGGTTTGGCTTACTTTGCTTTGCACAACCATGTTCATTATAGCTAAGATATTGAATCTCCCTAGATCCTCCTCAGTGCTCGAAGGGCTCAAGAAAGTGTGGTGTTTATATATATACATATATATATATGCATATATATGTATATATATATATATATACACACACACACATATATACACACACGCACACACATACACATATACACACAATGGAATTCTATGCTTCCATCAGAAAGAATGACAGTGCTCCATTTGTAAGGAAATGGAAAGACTTGGGGAAAATTATATTAATTCTATTATTTTATAATTTTTTGTTTTCTGTCTGTTTCTCAGTTTCTCTGTTGGACTTATTGACTTTATAGTTTTATTAATAGTCATTCTAAGTATGAAAATATAGCTAATTAGTCCTAGTCTACTCTTGTCATTATTTTTGACTTCTACCAAAGTGCAGAGAACTCATTTTTATATAAGGTGCCCTTTTATCCTACTCAGAGAATGTGTTTTGGTTTGTAAGTACTGAGATTTGAACTCAGAGATTGGTGTTTGGTAGAGAGTTGTTATACCCTTTCATCCCCACATCTAACTCTTGGAATATAAATTTCTCATCTATTTCTTTTGTATAGATAACACCTAATATCAGATTGTAGTACAATTTTCCACTCAAATACTCAATATGATTTAAAACTGCACAACGAAACACATGCCTATTATATTCACTCTGATTTTTACATATATCATGATTTTCTCTTTTAGTTTCATGCTTCTTTCTGGTATTGTTTCCTTTTTGTATGGAGATCACCTTTAGACTGTCATTATTGGTACATCTAGAGAAGCTTTCCAAAATTTTCTCTTATCGGAGAATGTCTTTATTTCTCACAATTCCTGAAGGATATTTTTCCTGAACCTGGAATTCAAAGTTGACAGTACCCTATGTTTGAAAAATGTGCCATTTCCTTCCAGACTTTTCTGGATTCAGAAGAGAAAATTGCTATCATTTAAATCGGTGTTCCTCTGTAGGTAAGATATTTCTTTCAAAATGCTATTAGGTGGGCTGGTAAGGTGAGTCAGTGGTAGAGTGCTTGCCTCGCATGCATGAGGCCCTGGGTTCGATTCCTTAGCACCACATAAGTAGAAAAAACCTGAAGTGGTGCTGTGGCTCAAGTGGTAGAGTGCTAGCCTTGAACTGAAGAGCTTAGGGACAGCGCTCAGGCCCAGAGCTCAGGTCCCAGGACTGACAAAAAAAAATACTATGAGGTGATTATTTTTTAAATCTTTATTTATATAGGTTGCTTATGTGTGGCTTCTTAGGATATTTTTGGGGTTTGCTTGGCCTATTTTGTGGTTTTGGTTCCAATGATAATTTAGCTTTTAACATCCCAGTAGTTCTTATTTGGTGTGCTTTGTCTATTACTAGAAGCCAGGTTGAAGCTGAGGAGCATGCCACAAGGGTGGACGTATTCTAGAACTGCATGCATGGTAATTTAGGAAGTCTCACAATTTATTCAGATTGGTGTTTTTTTTTTAATTTTCACAGTACTTACGAGTTTGAGGCTCGCTGGTCAGAGTGGCTGCAAGATCACGACCTGGAACACCTGAAGTAGCTAATAATAGCTCCTCAAATCTGCAATTAAAGATGGCCTCCAAGGAAACTACACTGCCAAAAAGAAGGAAGAAACAGAGTGGAAACTGTGAAAAAGTTGAAGAACCAGAGATTGAAGTATTTGAAGTGGAGAAAATAGTGGACCGGCGTGTAGTAGCAGGCAAGGTAGAATATCTCCTGAAATGGAAGGGATATTCAGATGCTGTTAATACCTGGGAACCAGAAGAAACTTTAGACTGTGTGGACTTAATCAGGGCTTTTAAAAATTCTCAAGGAGTGAGTTCATCTGCCAGTCAATATGAGGATAGCACATCAAATGATAAAAGAGATGCTGGTGACAATCCAATTGGCTTTTCTAGAGGTCTTGAGCCTGAACGAATACTTGGTGTCACAGAACATAATGGAGAAATGATGTTTTACATGAAGTGGAAAAACTCACGTGAAACTGGGTTGGTTTCTGCAAAAGAGGCTAATGATAAGTGCCCTGAAATTGTTACTGCTTTTTACAAACGGAGGCTGTATTGGCCTGGAAACTGAAACAGTAATTGTTTCATATATACACATATATATTATGAAGGTGTGTGTATATAATATATATTCATTTCAAAATATACATGTAAAACCTGAGGCTTGCGTTTTGCATTAATGTTGTGAAGAAATAACTACATTTTAATAAAATCACATTCATATGTTGTTTTTTAACTATATATTTTTATTGTAAAGATACTCTTCAGAGGGGTTACAATTACATGAGCCAGGTAATGATTCTATTTCCTATTAAGCATTGTTACCCACTACTTTGTTTTTCCCCTACCATTCCTTTCCTCCATACTTGCCTAACTCCTCCCTCCACCTCTCCCCCCCACAAAGTTGTAAAGTTTGTTTTCAACATAGTGTCTTGTATATCTCATTGGTACAATGGGTCATCCTGCATCCTTATTTCAGCCTTTTGTTATTTCCCTTCCCCTCCCCAAATCAGAAAAATGTATACACAAGATGCAGGACACTGGAATCAAATATAGTGACAACAGGGGTTGCACCATGGGGGAAGAACATACAACGAAACAAAAAAAAATCACATAGTACATTATAAGGGCATTAAAAACAACAATAAACATAAAATCTCTTGTGTCCCTATCTTGGGGTTCATTTCGCTTAGCATCAGGTTATATGGTCATATGTACATAGCTTTTGACCTCTTCTGCTTGTCCTGGACATATACTAGTTATTGCAGATAAGGGAAACAATGGGACCTATGTTTCTTTAAGTCTGGCTTACTTCACTTATTATAATTTTTTCCAAGTCTATCCATTTCCTAACAAGTGGAGTGATGTCTTTCTTCCTGATGGAGGCACAGAATTCATATATATATATATATATATATATATATACATATACATATGTATATATATATAATATACCACATTTTCTTGAGCTATTCACCTACGGAGGGGCATATGGATTGGTTCCATATCTTAACTATGGGGAATAGTGCTGAGATAAACATAGTTGTGCTGGTAGCTTTAGTATGGCCTTGTTTGTGATCATTCGGGTAAATGCCCAAAAGTGGGATTGCAGGCTCAGAGGGGAGCTCTATATGGAGTCTTTTGAGGACCCTCCAAACTACTTTCCAATGTGGTTGAATTAGTTTACATTCTGACCAACAATGCAGTAGGGTTCCCTTCTGGCCACATTTCCTACAACATTTGTTGTTATTAGATTACTTGGGGTCAGGTGGAATATCAATGTTGTTTTGATTTGCATTTCTTTTATGACTAGAGAAGTTGAGCATTTCTTCTTGTGTCTATTGGCCATTCTTATTTCCTTTTCAGAGAAGTTTCTCTTTAAGTCTTTAGCCCACTTATTAATCAGGTAGTTGTTTCTTTGAGGATGTTGGGGGATTTAATTTTTTGAGTAGTAAGTATGTTTTAGATATGAGACCCTTGTCTGTTGTATGGCTATGAAGATCTCCCAACCTGTGGGCTTTCTATTAATCTTGCTTGCTATGTACCTTGCCATGCAGAAGCTCTGCAGTTTCATGCAATCTCATTTGTCCAACCTTTTTTTGATTTGTTGTGCTTCTGGGTATTTATTAATAAAATTTCAGCCTGTGCCAAGGAGCCCTAGATTTTCTCCTATTCCTTCCTGTAATGTTTTCAGGACGTCTGCATTGACTTTGAGGTCTTTGATCCATTTGGAGTTGATTCTGGTGCAGGGTGATATATGGGGATCTAGCTTTAGTTTTCTACAGGTGTTAAACCAATTTTGCCAGCACCATTTACTGAAGAGGCTGTCTTTCTTCCATTCTATTTTTTAACTCCCTTATGGAAAATTAGGTGGCTATAGGTCTGTGGGTTCATTTCTGGATCTTCAGTTCTATTCCATTGGTCCTCAGGTCTGTTGTGCCAGTGTCAAGCTGTTTTGATTACTATGGGGTTTGTAAAAGAGTTTGAAGTTTGGTATTGATATTCCTCCAGCACTGAAGAACAGTTTTAAAAAAATGTTAGGCATTTTTTGTCATTACTTAATCAGAACAGCAGTCTTTTAAGTGCTATGTGGAATAGTTTTCCAGGTTGTTTGTATAACTAGAATTCCCCACCCAATTGCAGCAAGGGATTGGTAAGGGGAGTGGCAAGGTCCAGACCACTAAGGCTCCCCTGCTGGTTGCAGTCAGAAAAGGTGCCCTAAGACTTGATGTCCTATTTGTCTGTCAAGACACGGTGCCAGTATTGTTCAGTAGTGCCTGTATTGTAAAGATTTCGTTTTTGCTAGTTATAGGGTTCACTCACATTAGCATAGGTACTAAGGGAACTAAGTCAGGGATTTATCATTTGGACACAGCCCAAGAAGAGAGTTGATGTGTCTTCAACCTCCACAAAATAGCAGAAGATTAAACTGGAGGCATAGCCCAGATGATTGAATGGTTTGAAAAGGAAGAAAGCAATTAAAATTTGAGGAATTCCTGAATCAAAGTCTCATATCTCTTCATTTATTCATGCAAAGGCAAACACAGACACACCTACATGCACACACAAACGCACAAACACAATGTATGTCAGAGAGATGGTGTGTATTTTTTGCTTGATTCAAAGGAAAAGTTGATCTGGGGAAAATTCTGAGACCTTATTCAAAATATAACTGAACCTCAAATGAACAATGTGTAGCTCCAGAGGTACAATGCTGGCTTAGGAATACAACAGGGAAAACTTCCTACCCACTCCTTCCCCAACACACCTCACATAAAATACTGTATTTCTCTCTGTTCTACTGTCTCTGGCTGTGTGGGTTTGAGCTTCCACCTGTGGTGCATGCTGACACCTGCTGGGGGCCCTATAGGACCAAAGTATACAGGAGCTCTCTTCTGGCACCACTATGGCAGAGGGAATTGCCTCTTAGTATTTTGTCCTGTCACTTGGTCCACAGGTCTGCTCCCTAGGTTTTCTTTTTTTTTTTTTTTTTTTTTTTTTTTTTTATTGTAAAGCTACTATACAGAGGGTCACAGTTACATGAGTGAGGTTATGAGTACACTTCCTCTTGAACATTGTTACCCCCTCCATTGTTTTCCCCCTACCATCCCCTCCCTCCCTCCCTTCCCCGAGGTTCTTTTTTTTTTTTTTTTTTTGATTGTGATTAAATGATTACATAATTTCAAAGTCACAAGTTCATTCTAACTTCCCTGGAGCAAATTGTCTACCACAGTCTGTAATATATAACAGTGTTCACATGTTATATACCATATTTGTGATCAGCAGCATGAGGATATTTAGTAGTGGTTCAACCAGATGAGCGGGAGTTCTTTGTTTCTTAAGTCCTGTTAGTTTTGTCGTATCACTAACCTTTTGGATTTAGCATCCACTTATGAGGGAGACCATGTACCGTTTGTCTCTTCGTTCTTGGCTTACCTCGCTCAACATGATTCCTTCTAGCTCCATCCATTTCCCTGCAAATGCCATTATTTTGTTATTTCTAATGGCTGCATAATATTCCATTGTGTATAGATACCACAATTTTTGGATCCATTCATCTGTGGTGGGGCACCTAGGTTGTTTCCATATCCTAGCTATTGCGAACAGTGCTGCAATAAACATGGAGGTGCACGTGTCCTTGTATATTGGTTCCTGTTGTTCAGGGTAGATGCCTAGAAGTGGTATGACTGGGTCGTAAGGGAGGTCAATCTTTAGCTTTCTAAGGACCCTCCAGACTGCTTTCCAAAGTGGTTGTATAAGTGTACATTCCCACCAGCAGTGTAATAGGGTTCCTCTTTCTCCACATCCCCTCCAGCATTTGTCGTTGGCTGATTTGTGGATGTGGGACATTCTGACTGGGGTAAGGTGGTATCTCAGGGTTGTCTTTATTTGCATTTCCTTCACCACCAGGGATGATGAACATTTCCTCATGTGTTTCTTTGCCATTTTTATTTCTTCATTTGAGAAGTCCCTCTTTAGTTCCCTTGCCCATTTAGTAATTGGTTTGTTAGGTTTGGGAGGGATTAGTTTCTTGAGTTCCCTGTATATACAGGATGTTAACCCCTTGTCTGATATATTGCTGGTAAATATTTTTTCCCAATTAGTTGGTTGTCTTTCTAGCTTAGTTGCGATAGATTTAGCTGTGCAGAAGCTTTTTATTTTAAGGTAGTCCCATTTGTCGAGTCTCTCTCCAACTTGTTGTGACCCTGGGACTCTGTTCAGGAAGTTCCTTCCTGTGCCTATTAGTTCAAGTGTCTCTCCTACTCTGTCCTGCAGTAGTTTCAGAGATTCAGGTTTAATGTTAAGGTCTTTAATCCAATTTGAGTTGATGTTGGTGCATGGTGATAGGCTGGGGTCCACTTTTAGTTTTCTGCATGTGGCTGCCCAGTTTTCCCAGCACCAGCGGTTGAAGAGGCTGTGTTTCTTCCATTGTATGTCTTTGGCTCCTTTGTCGAATATCAGCTGGCTGTAGGCCTGTGGATTTATATCTGGATCTTCTATTCTGTTCCATTGGTCTTCGGGTCTGTTTTTGTGCCAGTACCATGCTGTCTTTGTGATTATAGCTCTGTAGTAGAGTTTGAAGTTCGGCATGGATAGCCCTCCCATATTGTCTTTATCCCCTAGAATTGTTTTGGCTATTCTAGGTCTTTTGTTGTTCCATATAAATTTTTGGACTGTTTTCTGTATTTCAGTGATGTACGTCATTGGGATTTTAATAGGAATTGCATTGAATTTGTATATTAATTTTGGAAGTATCACCATCTTTACTATATTAAGTCGGCCTATCCAGGAGCATGGGAGGTCTTTCCATTTCCTAGTGTCTTCTGCAATTTCTTTCTTTAACTTTTTATAGTTCTCATTAAATAGTTCTTTTACATCTTTGGTTAGGTTAATTCCTAAATATTTTATTTTTTGGGAGGTTATTGTGAATGGGGTTGCTCCCTTTATTTCCCTCTCTTCCTGTGCGTTATCAGTGTATAGGAAGGCAACTGATTTTTGTGGGTTTATTTTGTATCCTGCTATTTTGCCGAAGTGACTTATGATTTCTAAAAGTTTGGGGATGGAGTTTTT